TGGGTGTCTCCCCCGGTGGGTGGGCACTCTGGCCAAGGAGCTCTGTAGTGCAGACCAGAGAGGCAGGAAATACTTCTCCTGGAAAAGCAGGGATCTGGGCTGCCTCATCTGTGTCCTTTTTGTCACTGATGCTGAAATACCTGGGGGGGAAGAAAGGACTGGGGATGTGAGTCGCTGCTGATGCTGAATTTCCTGCAGGATGAAGCCCGGAGGGAGGCTCTGAAGCAGCGAGCGGAGCAGAGCATTCACCAAGAGGAGCCAGGCTGGGAGGAGGATGAAGGTGGGTTGGATGGTTGGGGATCTGCGGGAGGGCTCGTGCAGACCTTGGCAGGTCTCAGTTAGAGAGGGTGGTGGCTCCTGCTCACTCCCACAAATTCATCTCCCAGCCCAGCTGCAGCCCACCCTGCTGCACTCTCAGCTGCTGCTGCGCTTGCTGAAACATCTCTCACTTCTCTTCTGCCTTTCTACAGAGGAGTTCTTGGGGATGTCACCCCTGCCTTGTGCAAACGTGAAATTTCCAGAAGCAGCAGAGAAAGAATCTGCCCCTGCAGCCCTGGAGGGAAGCCACCTCACTGGTCCCAAGGGACCCTCAGAGGAAAGCTGGGCTGTGCTTCCTCCGGAGGCGGCCCCAGCAGAGGGGAGCCCCTCTGAGAGCAGTGAGAGCGTCTCCCTTGTGACTCAGATTGCAAACCCTGCCTCTGTGCCTGCCGCGCAGCTACAGCCTGGAGCACAACCAGCCGGGGCCGGAGACCTCTCCCAGAGGCTGCTGGAAGCCACCTTGGAAGAGCAGAGCTCCCTGCCAAAGCCACCAGAACCTGGTCATCTCTCTGCACCTGTGCGGGAGTCAGCAGCATCCTCAGAGCAACCGGCTGTTACAGAGCTCAAAGAGGTGGAGAGCAAAGCCCAGGGCAAGACAGAGACTCTGAAAGAGGAAGGACCAACAGATCTACGAGTCTTTGAGCTGAACTCGGATAGTGGGAAGTCCACTCCCTCCAACAATGGCAAGAAAGGTGCGTATGTGGGACAGCGCAGGGCCTGGAAACCTGCTCGGGGTGTCAGCTCTTGAGGAAAGGGTTCTGGTTTTATGATGAAGGGGAGGAGAAAAGGGATTTTGCCAGAGTCGCTCAGAAAGGTTCGATCTTTCTAATGGCTGAAACTGAAGCAGAAGCAAATCCTTATGCTGTTGGGCTGGGTCAGGTTGGTCACATCAGATAGTGACAATCTGCTCTCAGCAGGCGGCTGGGCTGAGCCCTGTTCCTGGTGCTCCCTCAGGAGAATGGAGGGTGAGACTCCTCCAGGACCCTGAGGAGGGACCTGTCACAGCTCCGGCTGACACTGTTCACAAACCTTTTCATTGCAGGGGATTCTGCCTTCTGCAGGTCTCCCAGAGTAATGGTTATGTTGGTTATAGGATCATAAAGGCACCAGAAGTAACCCGAGATCCAGCAAGCTGGCCAAGTGTCATGAACTGGATCTGTGTTGAGCAGAATCAGAAGAGAAATCAAGAGTCTGTCAGCAGAACAGGGCAGACATTTGGTTCCTGGCCTGCTGGGTGCTGGGGCAAGGCTGTGGTCTGTGTAGGGAGTGGGATGTTTCCATCTTTCTGCGTATTGTCCCCAGGAGTGTCCCTGCTGCTCCACTGCCGCAGGAGTTTGTTCATTCTGCTGGGGAGTGTGACAGTCCTTGTGTCTGAGTCACTCCTGTCATTCCTTACCTGTTGTGTTTTCTGTGGGACTGAAGTGTGACACACCCTTCTCCCAGGCCAGAGGCGAACACATTCTAGCGTGCACCTCTCCGCTTGTCCGTACCATCTCTGTCAGCCAGCTGACAGCCTGCTGTGGGGAACGGGGGAGGCTCGCTCTCCTGGGGCAGGCTGCGGTAGATCCGAGCTCAGCCAGGGCTCCGTGGGCCTCTTGGGCAGCTGTGTGCTGTCACCAGAGCGTCTGGAGAGCACGTGCAGCTCAGCTCAGGCGTGTTTGTGGTTACAGGCTCCAGCACCGATATCAGTGAGGATTGGGAAAAAGACTTTGATTTGGACATGACTGAAGAGGAGGTGCAGCTGGCGCTTTCGAAGGTGGAAGTGTCTGGGGAGGTGAGTCAAGGGGAGGTGCTCGCTCAAACAGGCAGGAAGGTTGCTCCCAGACACCATCAGCAACCCCTTGGGGTGGTGCTGCGTGAGCTCTGCCGTTGCTGGGTGCTTCCCTGGAGAGGCTGCGGTGCCTCAGAGCGAGACGGCAAATCCCCTGTGCTGGAGCCAAGGCTGTGAGCCTGTTTCAGCAAGACATGGCTGCTCGCGGGAGGCTTCTCAAAGGTGTCACTCGCTCTTTGAGGGGACAGGCTTAGCTTAGGATCTCCTGTGGGAGTCATGGGTGTCAGCTGGAGCAGAGAGTGGCTGTCTGGACACGCCTAAAGAGGGATGAGTGTGCCAGTTCCCCAAGGGGAACAGAGCAAACAAATCCCTGTGGTGAGGGTGTGGGAGCGTGAGGATGTGTCAGGCTTTGTGCTGACTCGGGCTGGGGGATGTGTTGATGGGTGGCTGTTGAGTTACAGAAACAAACTGTGGGATGTTACTCTTGTTTGCAGCTGGAAGATGAAGAGTGGGAAGACTGGGAATAAGACGACTGGTTCCAGTGTGTGTCACAGGCTCATTTCCACCATCGAATGTGAATTAAATCACGGACCGGCTGTTCCTTTGTGTGTAACTGTGCTGGGAATTGCAGTTCCAGGCTGGAGGAGTTTCATCCCTGCTAAATCCTGTGGGCAACTCAAGGGACCCCTTCAGACCTGGAGGAGGAGGAAACAGGAGTTCACTCGTACACATAGCTGCTAGGGAGCCCCTCTTCTCAGTAGGTCCTGGAGACTGGGCGAGCCAAAACTGCCCCATGAGCGTCAGGCAGAGGCAGGTGTGATGCAGCGAGGGGTCCCCGGGGCGAGCTGGGCACTCGGACATCCGGCAGGATTGCTTGGTGCCGCCAGACTGCCCGCTGGCTGATTGTTTGCTTGTGTCTGCGTGCGTTATCTACAGGACAGAGGCTCTCGGGTGCAAGCCGTGCCTGCCCGCTCGCCACCCTGCGCTGCTGCCCGGCCAGCCCCGGAGAAAAGCCGCGTGCAGGCGGGGGGCCGGAGGTGCTGCAGTAGGAGCCCCTTCTGCTGGGCCACTCGCTGCTGCAAGAAAGGCAGTTGGCTTGTGGCTTTGGCACAGAGCTGGGCCATGCTGGAAGGAGCCTAACTCCCTGCCAAACCCTCAGCTTCTGCCTGGCTTTTTGTCTTGGAAGCTTTTTTTTTTAATGGAAACTCCTGTTTCCTGCTGCAAGAGCAGCAACTCTTCTGAGAGCCAAGGCTGCTGCTTCCCTCTTTGCGGCTGCACCGCCTTCCTCTACTGGGTTTTGTGTATTTCTCGTTAAATTCTCAAGCAGAGTGCTAGTGGCTTGCTCTTCCTTGAGCCCTTCTGGGCAGACGGTGGTTTGGGTCACCCTGGGAGCAGAACCCCTCCGGTGTGGTGCCCAGTTCAGCCCTTGCAAAGCCCCAGTCTGGCCCAGTGACCACTGTAACCTCCTCCTTGGCACGGCGCTCGGCGCTCCAGCCCGGGGGGAGGCAGAAGCGCATGGATGCGGGTGGTAGCTGCTGGCTGGGGCTGTGTCCTGTCTGCACGCTCACCTGACTCCCCTCGTCCCAAGGTCACAAGCCACGCTGTGCTCGCTTGGGTTCACTCACCCGAGCCCCCTGGGGGCTCGCGATGCTTCCTCCGAGCCCACGGCCTCTCTTTGGGGCAGTTCCCTTCTCGTGGCACGACCTCGGTGGGTGTTGCTGATGGACAGTCACCTGGAGGGACCAGCCCTCGCTGCTGTCTCTGGCCTCGGGGGTTTTACACCCGCTGCCTTTGTCCTCCCTTCCAGTGCTGCCTCGCTGGGGCCGGGGGTTTCCTTCTGACTCTGGATAGCGTTAACCTGGCCGCACTCAGGGGTGTTGGGGTTTTGCATTTAGTTTGTTTTTTTTCTTTTTCCCCCAGCTTTGGGGAGATTCTCAACTGCAGCTGCCCAGGCAGGTGGATTGGTGGCAGCGGTGACTTCAGGCACTTAAGGAGAGTGGCTGTCCTGCAGAACACCCCAGGCACAGGG